TCCCAGGAAAACGTTCCTAGAATATGCTGCATGGACTATTTGGACTGTACAAAATATTCAAATGAGCAAACAATGACCATGCCTGATTATCCTCTCCCTACTGCTTTTGCATCTGTGTAACTCCATGGACCGCAGCTGAGCTACTCACGATTTATGCTTGTTCGAGTTCAGATGTTCACGGGGGGGGCGGGGTGTGTCTAGTCTCCTCTTAAAACCCCGGGGTATTTTTTATATATATCCTGTAGCACTGTTGAGAATTCAACATTCCGAGATTCAGCCCTTACTCACATGAGTAGCCCTACTGAAGTAAAGCGGCTTCTCTTGTGCGTATAACTGAAAGATCAGGCCTTTGACACAGGCAAGTCCCCTCGCGAAGAGAAGCAAAGAGAATGCCTGTTGCTATTATAGGTATGTCTGCAGTGCAGCTGGAAGTGAGCCTTCCAGCCCAGGGAGACGGACACGGGCGAGCTCCACTCAAACTAGTGCACTAAAAATAACAGGGCTTGTATTCAGGTGGATAGCTGGTGGCACAAAATCCAGGTTGCTATTTTGGGTGCTCTAGCTTCTCTGGAGCTAGCTCATCCGTCTACCACGGGCTGAGAGGCTCAGGTCAGCTGCAGTGTAGATGTACCCTAGGGGCCCAGTCTTGCAGTCCTCATGATGATAGACTTCCAGCTGAAGTCCATGAGAGTTTTGCCTGAGTAAAGACAGCCAAAGCAACCATCTACATGCACGTGTTCTCGCCACATCTCCTTCTTTCCAAAGTTTAAATGCAAGGAAACATTTAAGCACAATTTAACATAGGCCAAAATAGCAGGAAAAGAATTGCCGAGATGGCAAGATAACACATGCGATAAGAATACAGCATTGGTAACTGTGTTGTTAGAGTGAAGGTATACGTCAAAGTCAAGATTTTCAGAAGTGATTAATGACTTTGGGTGCTCACCTTGAGACACCTTAAAGGAGTCTGATTTTCAGAAATTGCTGAGTACTCACCCTCTGAACATCAAGCCCCTCAGATGGACTCCCAACGTCACTCATCACTTTTGGATTCTTGGCAAAAGTTCATCAATTTTAAATACGAGATTTGGAAGATCCTAGCAGATTTAAGTAGATGAAGCCTGCCACGAGCTATTTCCCTACAGTCTCAGGGGTCTGAACAGTCATTGCACTAACCAGATTAATAGTAAAAGGCAGTTTGAAGTGCTCATAGAGAAAAGCTAATTCTGACTGCATCATATATATAATTAAAAAATTGATGTGGATTTCCAAAACAGCAAATGCATTATTAACAACAGAGACTATCTGGCTTTAACTGTTTATAATTTATGGAATGCATTTTCCAGTAAGTCCCATACTTCAATGTCTTTTTTAAATGGACTGCTTTCTGCAGAGTGTGTCATATCTCATCTGTGGGATGAGAACAAAAGAGCAACGCTAAGCTATTTGTGTGCTGGATTCAGCAGTGGTATTTTTCCCCTTCCTCGTACATTTTCATAGTATTACTGATAATTCCATTTGCATTTAAGCAACGCTCCCCAGAAGTTTCTGAAATCACTGAAATTTCTGATATGGGAATACCTTGGCTTTTATGGTAATGAATGCACTTGAGGGCACAGTCCTGCTTCTACAGAAATCCGTGTGAGTTTGCCCATTGACCTCAATGGGAGCAGGATTTTCCCCAGAGCCTCCAGTGCATCTGTTAGTAGCTCATATCCTAGTTTCAGATAAAATACTCTGCCATCTGCATCTTAAGAACAATGGGTTAGACCCTCAGTGGAGAGACTCACAAAACGATACATTTAACTAGCACGGGGAGCAACAGACCACTTTTGATGGCACCTGAATAATTGCAAAATAGTACAATGAGCAGCTTGCTGAGTGTGCACACCACTGCCCTCTACTGGATGGAATTACAATTGCTGAGAATGATGTCAGAGGCCCTGCGTGACTCACAGGTAATGGAGATTCTCCTTTACCTCTAATAGTAGGGGCCTGTGCTTCCAGAGCAGGAAGATCTGAGTTTTCATGTTGTTGCCATGAAGTACCTCATGTCTATGGTGCGCAGCACGGTGACAGTCTGCAGTCCTGATCCTGCCTCTGAACACCGTCCAGGCACATCCCTGCAAAGCCCCATTGACTCCAGGGGCCTGCCCGCTCCTGTTCACTGCAAGAGTAAGGTCTAAATTTCTGGAGGAGTGCGGAGATGTTACAATGTTGCTATTAAAATTTGCGTGTGAGAGTAATCAATGCACAATGGCAGGAGAGTGAAAGATTGCGGTGCAGTGTATGACGTCTTGCCTCAGTTCTGTTGCTAACTGTCAAGCAGGAGAAATAAAGCACTGTGATTTATACTCAGAGTAATCTTCACAGTGGTGTGAAATATGATCATTTGAATTGGAAAGAACAATGATGGCTGTTCACATTTTTGATAGGCAATGGTTTTGAACTCTGTGATGAATTACACTGTCTGGTTCAGCCATCTTGGCTTGGGGATGTCATTTCGCTTTTGTTATAAGAAAAAAAGAAAAAAGAAAAACATATCTGCAGATCCCGCGGGTCTGATGTTAGGGAGTTACCATGTTGCAGATGGTCAAGCGTTCTACTTTGTTTTGGCCTTCTGTTTCCTTCTTGGAAAGGCGCTTCGAATGGTACGTGCAGATTTCTGACAAAGGTTGGTGCTGTTTATCCTGTTCTTTCTTTTATCTGTTTTAATTGGAACACCAACAAAGATGCTGAATTATACCAGGAATTTAAGCTTTGCTGCGTTTTGAGCTAAAATATGGGTGAAACCCATAAATATGTCTAAATTTCAGACATGCGATTTTATCTGTTGAAAGCTGGACAGCATTTTATTTATTTCAGATAACACAGATTCTGAGACGCGCATTCACATGGAGTAGCACCTTACCGCCTCTTGTAGACCCAGTGAATTCAGTGGGAGTATTTGTCGAGTAAGTGCTACTCAGCATGAGTAAAGCTATTGGAATCTAGCCCACAACAAGGAGGACAAATCCTGCCAGGAGCTGTGTTGTCATAAATTTACTCAGAGCAGTTCAGATCTAACTTCACATTTCTCGTCTGGAGTGCCGAGGTAGAACACTGGGGTTCAACACCTACCCGAGATTACGCTCGAGTCATGATTCAAGTAGAAGGGGAACAGACATCTAAAAAATCCAAGTGACAAAGGAACTGAGTAGAATTGTTCAGGCAACATCAGAATATACAATAGATGAACAAAAGAAGAAAGAGAAGTAACTAGTGTAAATAGCTAAACTCTGCGAATATGGTTAAAAGTGGTGGGTCAAATTCATGTCTGACACACACAAATGTAACTCCCCTGACTTTGATGAGGTCAGTTGGTGCCGTCATCAATGGCTTTGCCTTCGCGTTCAGTGGCAAAAATGATTTAGGGCAAAATCACTCGCAGAAGGGCAAATCCTGCTTCCATCTCCCACCTCAGCAGGCCCAACATTCAGGAGAAACAATGTGCTTCTCTGCTGCAGGAGAGGGCAGCGTATAGGGGGGCAGCAGGTTCATAGTCCTCATATAGAGAGTTCAGAAGCAAGGGCTGAGGAGTGGTGGGGTTAATATGGTCTCAAGCTGGCCCTGATTTTGCTCCCATTTAAGTCAATGATACCGTACTTTTGCCATTAACTTCAATGGGAGCAGAAGCAGGACCTTAGTCCCTACAATTTCCTTTCCTTCTAATTTTGCTGGAGTTGAGTTCCAGCTAGTTATTCAAATGTCTTTTGGGATGCAGGTGCAATAGTGTTTATTTTTATTAGTATGCCAGATGCCATTTTTAGCTCTTTGGTCTTTGGGATGAATGAATACCAGTGCAGACATTAAGCCATATGAAACGGGTGTATTTAACCTCACCATTTATTTTTACTTCCCTGTATCCAAATAATCAGGATGTGGTTATCTGCAAGGTGATAGATGGCGACTTTTTATTTCAGTGCACAGCCAAGTACAAAAATACACATTATAAAGCACCACAACGGGGTGGGGGGAAGAAACCCGGGCCAGATCCTCAACTGCTGTAAATTGGTGTAGCTCTGTTAGTTTCTGGATCACTGCTCAAAATGGATGGACACTTCAGTCTCACCTTATTCATTCCTTTGTCTCTCTCCTTTGACTCCTCTGGAGTTAGTCCGGTTTATATCAGCCATTTCCTAAACCTTATGGACAAAAGAAAAGGGTATGAAACCAGATAACAGAAGCACATGTAAAACTAATTAAAATAACACCATTTTTATACCTTCCTCTACAGAGTCCAGTACTAGCAAATATCAGTACAAGGGTAATAGGCAAGATGGCTTGTTGTTCTGATCACTTAAGGAAAAGCCCATGTGAGAAGCAGAGAAACAAAGACACATGGTATAGCTTGACTTTCAAAATAAGATTCCAAGCACTTTGCTTCATCTCTCTTGTAGTGTGGGAAACAAGAGCAAAGTCAAACATTTCTGCTGGGTATAGTCTGCCCGATCTCATGAGAGATCTGCGAAAATGAGGATAAAACAACTCTCGTACATCATCAGAATATATTTACACAGCCTTTCTATTTCTGCCGGCTCCAGCAGGAGAGTCAACAGAGAGCAGCAGAGTGAGGGTTGAATTATGCTTTCTGGGGCTGGGCATGGAAACAGATTAACAAACAGATTAGCAGATGTCTTCTGGGGCTGGAGGCCCCAACCCAACTCCCATGAAAATCAAGGGCAAGATTCCCAGCCAGGTCGGTGTGAGCTGGGTTGGCTCCTGAGCATCAAGGAAGGCAGGATAAGCGACTAAGCTATGTATGAGCCAGGGGCTCTTCCTGGCTTTGCTGAGTGACCCCGGGCAAGTCATTTCCCCTCCGTGTGTCTGGTCTGTTTGGGGCTGGCTCATCCTTGACTTCCATCACCACTTGTAACCGGTCCCTGCTGCCCTTGTCGCGTGCCCTTCCTCCTCGGTGTGTGTCGGGGTGGAGTGATTCAATAGGTTGTTCTGCTTTGCAGATGCTGCAGGTTCGGTTTGGGGTGGTGCACTTTGTCCTGGCGCTTACTCTGCTGCAGGGGCCCGCCGGCACTGCTGTCCTGGCTGAGGCAGCTCCGCAGGTAAGAGGCTATTCCTGACACTCCGCAGGCACCTTCCTTTCCTAGGGAGCTCGGAGCCAGGGACAGCTGGAGAGGCAGGTTTCTCCTTGGGACGGGGGTGAGATGGGCTCTACGGGAGGTGTTAGACTCTGACTGGGCCATGTGCCGAGTGTAAGGGGTGCCCCAGGAGCAGAGGAGAGGGTGACGTGTGAACCGGAGTCACCATGTCTCCCCTGCCACTCGCTCGCTCCGGGTACTTCATCCCGCCCCATGGAGTAACTTCCCCCCTCCCCTCTGTGCACCAGCTATTCTGGCCAGGGATTTGGGGAGGAGGATGCAAAGCTGGCACCCTCTCTGCCCCATCCGTGACCCCTTGTTCGCCGTGGGGAGGATCGGATGCTGTCCTCCTTGACTCCCAATCTGAGCTGGGGAACAAGGGTGGGTCCTGAATCCCCCATGCAGCTGAGTTAGGGCTATGAAAGCCTAGCTCCAACCCCACTCCCATGAAAATCGATGGAAAGATTCCCGTCCAGTCCAATGGGAGTTGGCTCAGCTCTGAAACGTCAAGGGAGGCAACGCGGCTGGGAGTCAAGAGACCCGTGTTGTTTGCTGGGACCTCTTGGTGTTGTACAAACATGGAACAAAACAACTGTCCCTGCCCCAAAGGTGTTATCTGTGTGGGCCCTTCGCCCGACAACAGGGGAGGGAAAACACGGTGAAAAAACAGGAACCGGTGACTATAAAAACCACTGACATCAACAGGGGGACACCTTTATTATTAGAATTACAGTAGTGTCTAGAGGCCCCAGAGCCCTATTGCGTTAGGCCCAGTACAGGCACATAGTGTGAACCAGTCCCTGGACCACTAGCTCCCTTTCCTCGCCCACCCCCCTCCAACAGACCATGGCTAACGTGCGCTTCCAGAGACACAGCAGAGGCCCTGGAGGCCGCAATGTTCCCTCCGCACCGTTAAGGTAACATTTGGGAGACGTTACCCAACCCACACCTGAGTGAAGGATGTAGCACCTACCAGGCCAGAAACCCAGCATTCCCTTTCCACAATACTTGAGACTCTGAGAAGAGAAAATCAGTCAGAGGAAATACGTACAATGAGGTGGCCCTCACCAAGGGGTTGACTGTGCTGAAGCTTGTCATGCTATGTCCTGTGAGTAACTGTAATGCCAGGGGGAAGTGTTCCTACTGTAGAATGCCCCAAGTTCCCTTCTAAGATCACCCGCTCAATCTATACGGATCATGTTTCCCTCCAGTGAATGATAGCCAGCTGCAGTACAGGGTACATTAGATATTTAACAGTGCATGCAAATGTAATGGAACCGTTTGGAGTAGGACAAAAACATACAGTGCCTGACTGAAATAGCAGTGTAAATGTAGGTGAGCAGAATGCATTTGCCCTGTCTCTCTGGCCTTGATTACTGTTGTATCTCAATGCGCAGCTAATGAAAGTGTATGATATTGGAGGAAGATGGTAATCTGTTCGTCAAGAGACAAACAGGTGAAATTCATCAGACAAAAGTTGTGATGATTTACCAAGCTCCATGGAGACTGAGTAGAGTAAACAGGCAAATACTTTGCTCAAATGATGGATTCCCTGACACCTTTCCTGGAGCCCAAGGATTGCATCACACTGTTCTTTAGCAGGTGCAACCTGTGCAGGCCAAAGAGCCACATATCATCCTGTTTATTTATTTGAGTGGACTTCAGCTGGGATCAAGAAGGAGCATCGGATGGAGACCTATAGTCTTGCCATGCTTCACCTGCCCATTAAAGCTGTGGGATTCTGTGGGCCAAACTGTAAAACATGAATGGGGCACATATGACCCAGAGGCCACACTTTGGGCACTCTTTAGTAGAGGAATTAAAATACACTAGGGCTGGTAGGAAAATGTTTTTATTTTCCACAGAAAACATCAACTTTTTGGTTCAGAAATCAAAAACTGAAAAAATGAGAGCCAAAACCCAACAGATGTTGATTCAGACATGGCACCACAGTGCCTCAGGGGAATTGTAGTTTGAGTGCCTCTTGCTCTCAGTCTCTTCTGTGGGCTGGACTCCCTGGCCGGACTACATTTCCCATGATGCACCATGATCTGCCCTGTTGCTGTGCCACTGTAATGCATCATAGGAGGTGCAGTCCAGCCGGAAGACCTGCACAGAGGAGAATACGCTCATGAGACACCCAAACAACTCCCATCAGGCTCTGAAACAGCATTTCTGAATCAATATGTTCTGTTTTGGAGTATTTCCTTTCTTTGACAAAGTCAAATTTCTCTGCAGAAAGCTGACCCTTTGATAACAAAATTTGTTGACTCAAAAAACCAATTTTGATGGAAAAATTGCAACCAGCCCTAAAAGCCATCAGGAGTTTATAATTTTGAACAGGTCTCAGCTTCTAAGGATTTTGCCTTAATATCTGGCAAGATCTTCTGTTAACGTGGGTTGTATATGAAGGGTTTTAAATGGTCAAAGCTTTCAAGTTTCCTTGAAAGTTTTTTAATCTTCCTTAAAGTCTCATCAGACTAGCGTTCACATGTGCAACAGAGTTTCCGAAATACCTGAAATGAACTACTCTTAAACCCTCAAACAACCTAATAAACACATCCTACCTGTGATCTATGTGGAGTGCATACGGTTCACGTAGCTCTACATGTAGATGGACTTGTAGATCTTCCCTGATGGCTTGTTAAGATCAAGGGAAGCCCATTTGTTCCGGATTACACACTTTACAAATATTGCAGTATAATGCAGCGATTCAGAAGCATCCTGTCTATCCTTAGCAGTGGGATCCATTTCCTCATTCCATCCATGACCATCCAACCGAATGAGATGTTTATAAACTCCATTTCTTTAATGATTTCTGACTGGCTCCCTGAATGCACACAGCAGAAGCACAAAAGGAAGGAGGTTAAAATCTGCATTTTTTCAAATATAGGGCCTGGGTGTGGATATTCTTATAGTAACTCCAGAAGAAATTCTTGTACTATCTTACCTTTATATCTGAATCTGAATCATTCCTGGGATATCAGACCATGATATCCCAGGCACCATGAACAAGACTGCACTCTTTCACGAGGACAAGTTGTTGGCCTATCACTCAATCCCCAACCTAGGGGACCAGTGGCAGCTTTTCTTCTGGTCCCTATCCTTTGACCTGTATGGCTTGGGTGGCCCTACCAGGAGTTGAAGTTCCCACGAGCATAGCTGTCAGCCTTCCCACCGTGTCAAGGTACTGTCCTCTGAGAAGGAGACATATATTGCCTTTGAAATGCTGCCTCCCATGGAATTGAGCATATTCACACAACTGAATAAAACCAATGCCTAGATCAGAAACTGAAGAAGAAGACTGTATCCAACTGAAAGGGATTGGGGAATTTGAAGTAGGCAGAGAATAATCACCTATATTATCGCTGAGCAAGGCCACTGAGGCTAACATCCTTAATCTGCTGAAACGTGCCATGGACTCTTTTTGACCAAAAGTGGTCAGGGCATCAGCTTTACATCTGCTTTTAAAAAGACTAACCATGGAGCCATATTTTTTGCCTCTTACAAAGCAGAGCAAATTGTTTCATTGTCTGTTTTTATGTTTTTGGTATTGACAGAGGCCAGTCAGTATTTGTCACCTACCCAATATGCATAAATCTAGTCTAGTAAGGGTGTTAACCTCAACGTCGTAAGAACATAAGAACAACCATATTGGGTCAGACAAATGGTCCATCCAGCCCAGAATCTTGTCTTCCGACAGTCCCACTGCCAGGTGTTTCAAAGGGAATGAACAGAACAGGGCAATCATCAAGTGTCCTAAATGAAGTTCAAAAAACATCTTGCCTATCCAACTTCCCTGTAAGTTTCAAGAGCATATGCTGTTCTTTATTTCCTGTCCTAAACTTGCATAAGGCTGCCATGCCTTGTCCTACCTCGGAATTGGTAGCACTTCAGTGCTGGGTGAAATGATTTTGATGTATTGTTTGCATAACAGTTTGCCAGACTTGTAAAGTCATTTGGGATGGAAAATACCATATAGGTATTTATTACAGCTGGTCATAAAACAAAAGTCACTATCCTGAAAATGTCACATTTTTAAGCTGTTTTCATTTCAAAGAGTTTGAAAATAAATATTTAATCCCCCCGCCAAATTCATAGAATTATTTAATTGAAATTCAAAAAAATATTGAATACATTATTGAAAATGTTATTGAAATGATTACAGAAAGTTTTTGTTTACCAAAAACCCAGGTTTCAGTAAATAAAAAATGTTGATAACCATTTTGAATAACATTTCAGATAAAATTTTCAATTAAAAAGTCATGCAAGCTTTTGTGAAAAATGAAGAATTTCAACAATGTCAACAACCAGACATTAAAAAAATTCATCTTGCAAAAATGAGCAGTTTTCACTGAAAAAGGAGGGATAGCTCAGTGGTTTGAGCATTGGCCTGCTAAACCCAGGGTTGTGAGTTCAATCCTTGAGGGGGCCATTTAGGGATCTGGGGCAAAAATTGGGGATTGGTCCTGCTTTGAGCAGGGGCTTGGACTAGATGACCTCCTGAGGTCTCTTCCAACCCTGATATTCTATGATTCTATGAAATTTGCTCCAGGTTTAGTCTTTGTCAGTTCTAATGTATTTACAGGCTGTACCGCTCACTGTACTGATTGAAATTCTTTTCCTGAAACAGAAACATCAAGCAAACCCATCCCCTCTTCCTTTGCAGCCCTTTGACTCTTCCATAGTATTAGGCATGGAAGCACATTCCACATCCAGCGAAGAGAAGTCAGCCACGGACCTGGCAGCTAAGCTGCTGCTTCTTGATGAGCTAGTATCTCTTGAAAATGACGTGATTGAGACCAAGAAGAAAAGAAGTTTCCCAGGGTTTGGGTCTCCCCTCGACAGGCTTTCTGCGAGTTCGGTAGATCTGAAAGGCAAGCAGAGGTAAGCTGAGAGATCGGATGGTACAGTGATGCGCGCTATAAAGAACGTTGATAGATACACTTTCCAAATGCAAGCTACTCATTTTCATTAGCTCACTAGTTCTGTGGTCGGCTGTGGGTAATTCATTTGTCAGCATATTGAAGTCACTGCAGACTACTCATCTTCTCAATGTTGCTGCAAGATTTATAGCTCTTCAGCTATGATAAGTAATGCACTCTGCAGCTGATTTATCCTTGCAACCTGAATCAACCTACAAGAGACATCTGGGTAAACTTATTCCTCCAGCGCACCCTTTCCCATTCATGTTCATGGCCCTTCAGTTTAAAAGGCTATTTAGGCAGTAAAACTGTTCAAGGAATATATACTGTCTGGGGTTTAAAAGTGAAGGGGGGGAGGTTAAATATTTCCAAGAACAGATGGCTGGTGAGAGGGCATCTTACACAGCAAATCTTGACCGACACTGTAGTGTGCGTAAAAGTCATGGACAGTACATGATAGGAAGGGCATCTTGAGTAAGGCCTTCAGGATCCTGGTCTATTGGTTTCACTGAGATTGGGTCCTGAGCAAAATATGCCTATCCTACAATGCACCTGTTAATATTCAGGCCTGATACCTTGACTGTTCACCTTAGAGGAGATGGGGTTTTATGTTGGAAAGAGCCAAGGAGATGCAAATTAAGAAGGCAAAGGAGATGCGTGTGGCTGCAGGGCAAGACTTGCAGGGTGTCTGCTGCTCATTGTAACAGAAAGCATTCGCTGAGATCTCTCTCTTTCCCCTCCCCTGCTATTTGCTGCTGGTGACCATCTTCCCTCACCTTTCAGCCCCAGTCCAGCAAAGCACTGAGTGACGTGCTTAAAGTTAGGCACTCGCTTTACGTGATTTGCTGGAGAAGGGCCTTTGTATGGATGGGTAAACAAAGTTCTGATCAAATAAAACCTGATCCAAGCCTTCACCCAAAACTCACCACAGACCTGGAACCAGAATTTTTACTGAGGCCTGTAGAAGTTTGGCTGACTGTGTTTAATTTGAAAGTGAAAAATATTCACTGGAGCCAGCCAACGTTTTCCAAAATTGTTTTTTTCAAAGATATTTTTGCAATTAACCAGCTTTAATACTCGCTCTGCACTTCCAGGCTCTGGCCAGTAGGGGGTAAATGATTAAAACCTCAGGCAGGGGTTTTTGCCCTTATAGCTCACTATGAACTCAAAATGGGCCCATTTCTGAGAAAACCAATCACTGCAGTAAGTGCGTGGGGTTTTTAAGCAAAATTTGGCTGTTTTGGGGAGCAAAAATGAGCCCTTTTTTCAAAAGAAAAGTCTTTCCACAAACCCGTGGAAATTCATATTTTAGATGTAAAAATTAAGATTTGATTGAAATTACAGAGAGAGCAAAACACCTGAGGAAGGGGAGGAGGAAGTTTGGGAAATGGGCCAATATTTCTCGTGACATTTCTCAAATCAAAAACAATTTCATCCAGGTCTAGCTGAACTCAGAAGTGCCAGAGTGTCACCAAATATCGCCTTTCATGAGATTTCCAGCCCCGGGTTCACCCGCGAGTGTTATTGCTTGGAGGAGCAGACAAGCTTTTCGCTCCTGGAGGAACCAAATGTTGAAGCCATTTGAGGTTCTCTGATCGCTACATTTTACACTGCTACTGTTCTCACCAGCATCCTGGGGTCACTCTATACAATCACCACACTAGCGTATAGACCAAGGGAATGCTGTTCGGTCATATGGACCAAATCAGAAATGTTTCTCAGCCTGTATACTAGGGCAAGTGTAAGCCAATGACAGAGTCTCTGCCTTCTCTAGTGGAGGGTCCACATGAGATGACAGCCTGCTACTGTTACACCTTTAGCTCCAGGAGGTTTAGAGATCCTGAATATAATGGCTTGAAAAGCTCTCAGATGATGAAAAAGACTTTACACCCTGTATTAATACAGTGCTGTGATATACGCTCACATAAAAGAAACTTACCGCAGAGACTGGGGGAAAGCCTAGCCCCACAGAAGTCAATGGCAAAGTGGCCGTTCACTTCATCCCGGATTTCACCTACTCTTAACATTAAGAAGCTTTGGAAAGCATAGACAAAAGCAAGAGAAGACAAGCTTTCAGATGAGATTCGAAGCGAAGGAGACCCCAGTGAGCGTCACAGAGGCATAAATAATGTTCTAAACAAAATTCCTTTTGATTTTCCTGCCCAAGGCCAAGCCCTGTTTGGTCGGCAGGCGAAGATGCACAGAAGCTCAGCAGAGAGAAGCTCTGCAGGGTGGGCTGAAAGTCCCTGTCATTGCTGCAGATGGCCACAGGAGGGATCAGCTCAGCTGTAAAACCTCTTAGCTTTGATCCAGTGCTTTCGATGGGAAACATCAGGCCCAAATTAAAGAATTCTGGGGCCCTGACCGCTATGGAAATGGAGGGGCTCTCCAGATTTCTTAAATTGTTACTGCCCCTTATGTACCCAGCCCCACACAGACCCCTAAATGCCCCCTCACTTCATATCTACCCCAACAACCCTCCACCAGCCCCCACTGATCCCCCACATACATCCCAGCAGCCCTGACTTACATCCCGTTGACTGCAGGCCCCAACACTGCTGCCCCACCAGCCACAGCCCCTAGCATCCCCCATTCACCGCCAACATCCCCCAACCCCACTGCCCCGCCAGCACTCGCCCCATAGCCCTCACCCACTGCCCCCAGGACCTTCCTGGCCACTCACCGGCACATCCCCACAACTCAGCACTCCACTCAGCACTCCACTCCAGGTGACAGTGGCTCCTCCTTATCCCGGCCACCCAGGTCTGCGTGCTCCCATCGCCCGGCCTTAAGCTGGCAGGCTTGGCCTGGCTGCTCCTCCGTCATGATGAAGGGGCAGCTGGGCCAAGTCTGAGTGAGTGCCATTGTGATCTGGCACACAGCGTCATAGCTCTGCTCGATTTGGGGGGTTTTCTGGTGTCTGGGGACTCCTCTGAGATGGGTCCCTCTGCAAGTGCTCTGAGTGCACCTTGGTTAGTCCAGGCCTGGGACCCGTGTGACAGGGTTTTTTTTAAGTTCTAGTTTTACAGTGAATTTAGGCATGGAAGCACAATGCTGAAAGGCACCAGACTGACAGCTCTGAAAAATTAAGTCCTCCTTATATCCAACCAAACACAGACAGAGAGCAGAACTGCACGCTGCCCTGATGCCTCTGATTCCCCCGCAGTGGTGCGTCATCATTAGGAAAAAAGGTATCTTCTTCACACAAGTTAGGTAACATGAGGTAAAACCCTGGTGAAGACCAGGGCAATTGGCACATTTCACACATTTTAGCAGGATGAGTTAAAGACCTTGGGGGATCCTATGGTTTACCTGAATCCACTAACTCTTGTGAAAACTCCAGACTGCTTGATCTTCACTAGGATTTTACACTGTTAGCTAACTTGAGTTAAGAACATGCCTTGTTTCCTAGTGAAGACAAGGCCTAAGAGAGTGAAGAGAGTTCATTTTCCAGTCCTCCATCTCTTTGTAAAGTTTCTCCAAGGACAAAAGTTAGGATTATTCCCCAGGTGGGAATTCACTAGGTGTTTGCAGAAACACCAGGGTTTTTACTGCAAAGTGGCCGTGCTTTTATGGGTGAAATGCAAGTTCCTCCACTCTCAAAAACCATGCTCAGTTTTTCATGAAACATTGGAAGCAGGAATGGAAATATTCCTTCTTCCCTTGTTTCGTTTTTCCTGCACCCCTGGCCGTATTGGTCATGAATAAAGACGCAAGGGAAGGTTTAGCTAGGAATATCTCGCATTTTGGTTTTGTTCGTTTAAAACCAATGATTGAAACCTCATGCTCATGTTTGTGGCTATTGAGTTGTCTAAACGTCGCACTGCAAACAACCATTTTAGAAAGGAGACTGGAAAACACCTGTTAGGTCTCCTCTATTTCATCCTTTCTACCTCTGCAGGATGCTTCCCCCGTGTACCTTTCCCCACAATGACGGAACGAGGAGTAATGGTCTCAAGTTGCAGTGGGGGAGGTTTAGGTTGGATATTAGGGAAAACTTTTTCACTAGGAGGGTGGTGAAGTGCTGGAATGGGTTACTTAGGGAGGTGGTGGAATCTCCTTTCTTAAGGTCAGGCTTGACAAAGCCCTGGCTGGGATGATTTAGTTGGGGTTGGTCCTGCTTTGAGCAGGGGGTTGGACTAGATGACCTCCTGAGGTCCTTTCCAACTCTTATATACTATGATTCTATGATTCTATGATTTACAGACTCTAGTTCTAAATGTCCAAAACAATGGACCAGCCTCGCCACACACACTTCATTTCAGAGAGCGTCCCACAAGCTAACGTTTGAAAGCTAGTTAAGTGACTACACAGAATGATTTTAAAAAACCAAGTCACAGCCAGGAAAGTCTTCGCCCCAGGACATCCTGGACGAGGGGAGAAGTGACCTTAGACCATTGCTGAACCACCCAGCTTCTGGGCTGCTGAAATGGCCTCTGGCATAAGTTAGAGCAGCCCCCGGGGCAGCCCAAATTATCATTGTGCCAAGCTCTATGGCTACTCCCCTCCTGCCCCTGGCATGCCCCCTATACATTAACCCAACTTCTTCTTAACTTCTTCTGCACCTGGGGAATTCACCTGTGGCCTGTCGAGGCACATGTCCTGCCCCATGTGCTGCCAGCGTGTTGTCCGGGGGGACAGGATCAGCCCCTTAGTGTTTATCACAAGAAAGTAAAACACAATGTACTTGGCAATACTCAGCACGTAGAGCCCTGCCCACGCAGGGGCTCAGCCCGGATCTGGGCCCCTGGAGCTTGGAGTCGGCCCTTGCCTAAGGCATCCTGCCCTCCTTGAGCCCTGGTTCTAGAGGAGTGGGGAGCTGAGTTTGAGTTAACCCTTTGTTCACCCTGGCACATAGACGTGGCTTGCAGTAAGGCTGATTTCCTGGGATTCACCCTCTATTTCCCATCCCACTCCTCTAAGTCACACCCCCGCCCTCTCCTCCCTATGGCCTCCCCCAATAATTCCTCTCTGGCCTTGATTTTCAGACCCTTTAGGGCCTTGGCTCTACCTACAGCTACCTTTCCTCATAACCCATAATCCGTCCCGCCCCATAACCTTTCTGGGCTTGGCCACCCCAGACGGCAGGGGACTTAGGCTCAGATCCTGCCCTTCATTCCTAACAAAGTAAGTTGGCGGCGGGGAGGAGGTGCTCTCAGAGCTAAGGCCACCCTGGAGTTAAACTTACCAAGCTACTGAGCTGAGCTGCTGCCCTTTGAGCTGAGGACGGAAGAACGAGTCTGAGGAGATTTCAAAGGGCCTGGAACTCTGTGGGTTTGAAACGTAACCGCGGATCCAGCCCTCTTTCCTCGAAAGGCCTCATGTTTTAGCAACACCGGCCCTGTCACATTCTCAGCCTCGCCACTGAGCCAAGGGGACGCTCCTGTGGATTCCCCGGGGCTGCCAAAGATGGTTGGAGCAACATGCGCCGCAGGCCAGCAAGTGCTGCTCCTGGCGAGCAGAGCTGGCGTGGGTGTGCAGCCAGCTGCCTGCCAGTGGGAGGAGAGGCCCCTCAGGGTCAGCTGGAAAAGCTGACCAAGTTGCAACTTGTGGCACCTTAGAGACTAACCAATTTATTTGAGCATGAGCTTTCGAAAGCTCATGCTCAAATAAATTGGTTAGTCTCTAAGGTGCCACAAGTACTCCTTTTCTTTTTGCGAATACAGACTAACACGGCTGTTCCTCTGAAACAAGTTGCAACTGTTCGCTGGAGGTGTGGGAGAGGCAAGAAGAAGGAAGGAAGGGAAAGTGAGTTCAGAGCAGACAGGAGGAAGCCGGGGCAGGGCTGGGAACTTGGAGACAAGGAAGCGAAATCTGTTTCGTTTTACAAGCTTGTTTCATGAGCGCCATAAAAAGAGGGGGATCAGTTCAGCATTGCCATGAGGCCCTCTGCGCCACCTAGGCTGGTGCAAAGGGGCCAGATGGGGGGCCTCCTTCCCCACAGAATAACCCCAGCATGTGCGTCTACTATAGCAGGTGCAGAGACAGCTCTCCAGCCCCTTTGCTGCAGCCACTGATGCAAGCCACTCTGCAGCCACTGATGGGGCAGAGGAGGGAGGGGGCAGATCAGGAGTGGGAGGAGGAAGAGGAGAAGAAGGCATAATGGGAGTGTACTTACCCCTCATCGTGTAGGATGGAACCTGCCACACAACACCTGTTGCTTCTTTGGAACTAGGGGACGAGTCTATCCGTCTCAATATTTCCCTGCCGTTTGCAACATTTGGAGGAACTGTTCAGTTTTGCTGTGACACATTGGCAAGGTCAGATTTGCTGCAGTGACTCAGACTGAGGGTTCATGGTCTTTGGTGTTTTTGTCTCTGACAGTGGACAATGCTGAGTGCTTCAAAGGAAGGTATAAACCCCCACAAAATACCTGACTGTGCCCATTGTACTTTGGAGGAGGGCAGGATGACCACTTTATGGCCGGAAAAATAAGGTTTCCCAGCCCTTGTAACTTAATATTTTATATTTGCCTTAATAATATCCTGCAGCAATGAGTTCCATGGGTGAATTAAACTTTGCATAAATACTATTCCCGTTCATGTTTTAAAAAGCTTTTCCTTCTTCTTTGAATAGTAGATGAACAACTTCCAAATGGGGATAATGGACCAAATTCAGCCTTGCTGTAAACAGCTGCAACTTTCTGCTCCCTGCAGGGGTAGCTTTTCTTATAGAGGCTGCAGCTTATGAAATGCAAAACACCTTATTTTGAGTAATTGTCCAGAGCCTCCAGCTTTAACAACAGAGCTGCCCTGACCAAACCCCATTGCCAAGACTGGTGTGAAATGGAGGAAGCAAAGATGCAACCACTTTTTGGTTATTCCTGTGAAGTATCTATACCAGTTTTTGCCCTGTTTTTTTGTGCAGGAAGGTGGTGGAGTTGCCCAAGCGACGATTTGGAATTCCTCTGGACCGAATCGGAACGAACCGTCTTGCCAGCACCAGGGGTTAGCAGATGGTGCAAGTAAGTCAGGTTCACCAAAGCAATGTTCAGACGTCACGCAGGATCCAATGAGGCTCTCGGTTACAGACCTGCAAGCTCATGTTGATGTCAGTGGATTTGGAAGGTCAGATCTGTGGAAAGGTGACTTCATGTCATCATGACAGGGGACCTGGTAACAGTCTTCAAATACGTTAAGGTCTGTTATAAAGGGAACTGTGATGAATTGTTATCCATGTCCACTGGAGATAGGACAAGAAGTAATCGGTAGCAAGGGAGATGTAGGTTGGATATTAGGAAAAACTTTCTAACGCTAAGGGTAGTTAAGCTCTGGACTAGGTTTCAAAAGGAGGTTGTGGAATCCCCTCATTGGAAGTTTTTAAGAATAGGTTGAATAAACACCTGTCACGGGTGGTCTAGGTTTACTTGGTCATGCCTCAGTGCAGGGGGCTGGACTAGATCACTTCTTGAGGTCCCTTCCAGCCTGACATTTCTATAATTCTGTATAACATTGCTTTATCTCTGTGTATTTAGCTTTGATGCCTTAAGAAGTTAGGAATTTGCAACCCCCACAATAAATCCAATACACCTAACTTTGCTTGGTTTCAGAGTAGCAGCCGTGTTAGTCTGTCTTCGCAAAAAGAAAAGGAGTACTTTTGGCACCTTAGAGACTAACGAATTTATTTGAGCATGAGCTTTCGTGAGCTACAGCTCACTTCATCGGATGCATTCAGTGGAAAATACAGTGAGGAGATTTATATACACACAGAACATGAAAAAATGGGTGTTTATCATGCACACTGTAAGGAGAGTGATCACTTAAGATGAGCTCTTACCAGCAGGAGAGTGGGGGGTGGGGGAGAAAACCTTTTGTAGTGATAATCAAGGTGGACCATTTCCAGCAGTTAACAAGAACATCTGAGGAACAGTGTGGGGGGGGAATAGTTTTACTTTGTGTAATGACCCATCCACTCCCAGTCTCTATTCAAGCCTAAGTTAATTGTATCCAATTTGCAAATTAATTCCAATTCAGCAGTCTCTCGTTGGAGTCTGTTTTTGAAGTCTTTTTGTTGTAATATTGCGACTTTTAGGTCTGTAATCGAGTGACCAGAGAGATTGAAGTGTTCTCCGACTGGTTTATCAATGTTAAAATTCTTGACATCTGATTTGTGTCCATTGATTCTTTTACATAGATACTGTCCAGTTTGGCCAATGTACATGGCAGAGGGGCATTGCTGGCACATGATGGCATCTATCACATTGATAGATGTGCAGATGAACGAGCCTCTTTACAGTCTTTACGTAAAAGAATCAATGGACACAAATCAGATGTCAAGAATTTTAACATTGATAAACCAGTCGGAGAACACTTCAATCTCTCTGGTCACTCGATTACAGACCTAAAAGTCGCAATATTACAACAAAAAGACTTCAAAAACAGACTCCAACGAGAGACTGCTGAATTGGAATTAATTTGCAAATTGGATACAATTAACTTAGGCTTGAATAGAGACTGGGAGTGGTTGAGTTATTACACAAAGTAAAACTATTTCCCCTTGTTTATTCAACACCCCCCCCCCCCATTCCTCAGACGTTCTTGTTAACTGCTGGAAATGGCCTTGATTATCACTACAAAAGGTTTTCTCCCCCCCCCCCCCAGCCCGCTGGTAATAGCTCATCTTAAGTGATCACTCTCCTTAGTGTGTGTATGATAAACACCCATTTTTTCATGGTCTGTGTGTATATAAATCTCCTCACTGTATTTTCCACTTTACGCATCCGATGAAGTGAGCTGGAGCTCACAAAAGCTTCTGCTCAAATGAATTGGTTAGTCTCTAAGGTGCCACAAGTCCTCCTTTTCTTTTTGTTAACTTTGCTTGTCTTTCATAGACCTTTTTAGAGTATCTTTGTCTGAGGCTTTGAGTTTCTGACTAGGACAATGTAACTTTCACTGCTTTTTTTTTTTTCCTGCAGGTGCATCTGCGCTGGATGATTGATGCTGTATTGGGAATGTCACAGAAATATGGAAGACGCTTCAGAGAGTGTCTTGTCATTGAGTAATGATTCAACATTTAAGGAATTGACCTACTGCAAAATCTATTTCACATTGCATTTTACAAACAATAACAGATTCAATCCATCAGATCAGAACATTCTCACAGCGACGTTTTGGTCTGACAATAAAAGGGAACAGAAAATGAGTGTATATAATTTCACTGCATAACCATTTTTTTTTAACTCATAAAAGTTTCTTATCCTCGTAAGGACTATTAGAATTTTTGAAGAAAAATAAAACTTTTAGAGATACCAACAGCACTCTATGGAAGGCAGAATTGCTTTGTAAATTTCACTCAAGAGGGTTGGTTATTCGTTTTACTGCTTAAGGGGACAAATCCAGCTTTTATTCAGTCCTTATTCAGGCAAAACTTTTACTGATGTCAGCAGGAGTTTACCTGAATAAAACCCACATAAATACCTTAGGATTTAGCCTGATACTTGTAGCAATCTTTCCCTTACCTCTGTTGTACCTATGTCATGAATCTTTTCATCTGACAGACTCTGAAACTTGGTGAGGCTGTTACTTCCTTTACACCTCTGAGCTGATTAGTTCCTTTCACTCCTTCTTGTGCATAACATGTGATGAACTGGCGGTGCCCTCCATGTAGAAGATGATACAGCCCCTGAGCCGTCTTCATAGAGCACCTGGCTTTAGCTCCCTGAAATGTTTAGGACAAGGAGATTTCACCCCCTCTTCCTTCTCTCACCCTGCAAAACATTACCGGAGCAGAGATGCGGCTCAGTCTCAGTGTTTGGATTTGCATCCTGATCTGATTTTTCCCGAAGCTGGAGGTGTTCAGTGCTGGAATTTGGGTCTAGCACAAAGAAAGGGGAGTCAGCTGGATAGCTCAGATCAGGTCCAAACTCCAAGGGTGATTTGTACCAATCTGTCGTCAGGAATAATCATATAGAGTCATCCAGGAAAGGAACTATGTCAGGAGGGGACCACAGGAGGCTGGGCCATACCTGGGTCTTTCTCTTAGGTGTGACTGAAGCAAGGCAGCAAGCAGCAATGTGCCACAAAACCCAGTTTTAGGCAGGTGGGCTGTGGCCTATGTGGAGTAGTGAATTAAGCATCCACCTTCTGATCTCATGTACTACGCAGAGGAGGGAGACTGGCCACTAGTAGAAAGTTGGCTGAGTAGGGAGGAATCCGACCAGCTCCCCAAGAGGGGCAATGATGTAAGAAACTAATGTTTAATGACAGTTCCTACCCTACCTCCCCCCCTCCCCCCCCCCCATGACTGGAACTGGAGCTGGTTGAAAACAAGGAATTTTCACAAAAATCTTTATTTTTGTCAACATTTCTCATTAAGAAAACTTCTCGATGTTACAAAGCTGTGGCCTAATAGGATTTCACAACTGTAGCCTGTCACAAATCTGTACTCCAAGGCACTTTGACCTTCACAGCTCCAGCGCTCTGCTGTCTGTTGTATCTGCCTTTGCATGGATTGTGGGATGGCATGCACCAATTTTCTCTGTCAGATAGGAAACGATGGGTTTGGCTGTTAGTTCTCTGCCTTTTTTTTAAATATAAATGTAGCTATTAGCTTTTAACCACTAATGTTGTAGCATAGTCACAAACGATCACATCCCCAGACTGAAATCTGCAATGTTACAGAAAGAAAGCAGGGCTATGCCTGAGACGTGATGAGTCGCCTCATTCATTTACTCCCGTTTTTCTTGGGTCTGCTGAAGTTTGTGTTGAATTCTGCTTATTTCTTTAAACGTGCAGTCTGAGGGGGACTCTCTCCCGGTTACACACCTGGGGAGGCTCAGACTGGAGAGATCCAGAGTTAATGCATTATGTTGGGATGCTAAAACTATGTTACAATAAAATGTACTGTGTAACTATTGGCCAGCGTTAGCCCTTTTCTCTGTTCTAACCACAGATAAATGGTGCGGTCTACAGGCATGTACAGAAATATCTCCACTTTGGAGGAGAACATTGAACATGGGGAAGGAGTGTTCTTTGTTGGTAATAGCATGGAACTGGGAGTCAGGACTCCTGGGTTCTATTCCCAACTGCCACTGGATTGCATGTTTTACCGTGGCCAAATTACATAGCCTCTCTTTGTCTCAGTTCATCCACCAAGGCCTAACTTGAAAGGGTGCTCTGAGGCTTAAATTTGTTTGCAAAGCACTTTTTAAATCCATGGATGAAAAGTCCTACTTAAATAGTAAGCCTTAGGAGGCCCATGAAACATCTGTGTTAAAACTGAAGAGGAAAGAGTAAGACTGGGCACCATTGCTGTTCTCACAGACAAATCACGCTGGCCAAGGTCTTTGTCCATAGCATGGAAGTTAGCAAACACGAGGTGATGATACTGTGACATGTACTGTGTAGCAACTTTACCCGTTTTCCTCTGTTCACAAAACCATTCAGATGCCTTTGTGGGATGTCTGCTAATAAATCAACACAACTGAACAGAACATCTTGTGGAAATATGTTTAGAAATTCTTATGTGGGGTCCCTGAGTATCAGGATTCTCAGAGCAACAAATCAGCTCATATTATTGCCACGGACAAAGTGTGGTTATGGTGAGAAAAAATGGCTGTCCAAGTGGCGCCTGAGGGAGATAAAGTTTTCTTTTCTCCATGTTGCAGAGGAAAGTGCAAGAAACTTTACTTAGGGACTAACTTGCCCAAGGAGGCTGTTTCTACTTAACCCAAGGCTCTTGGTGGTTGGTTTATACTTTCCTACTCAGTCTCACTGTTCCTTGTGGTAAGATGCTGTCCTGGCAGCCTGCACGCAGCAGGGCATGGAGCTGCTCATTCGAGAGAGATAGGAAGGGGGACAAGCTGCCTCCTATATACCACAGCCTCAATCTGATGGCTAAGACACGTGTCAAGCCCCACAGCCTCCCTAGTCAGCTGCCATGAAAGCTGGCGCCCAAGCCCCATAGCCTGCCCCATGGGAACTTGAGAGGTTGCCATTAAAAGTTCAGCAATGAACTCGATGCAAGAATCACTGGGAGAGGTTCTCCGGCATGTATGATGCAGGAAATCAGAGTAGATGATCCTAACGGGTCCTTCTGGCCTTAAAAATCTATAAATTTAGTAACATTTACCACACCACGGTATCTCATATTGATCACTGCCGCTACCTAAGTACAGGGAAATACACGGTACCTCAGATGCTGCCATGTGGGTAAACGCCAACCATGTAATAGTTACAACCATTTGATTCCCTTTGCAGACTCTCTATTCCTCATGCTGCTGTGGACACGGCCAGGCTGCAGAACCCAGCTGGCATTTGCTATTCTGGCCGTTAGAAAACCTGGCTCGTCACTGGAGAACCTGCACTCAGTTGAGCTGAAAGCCAGTGAGAAGCAGAAATCTAGAACCCTGAACAGGTCCCCAAAGTATTGTGACTACACTACTGTTTTAAGAGAGCTATGGCTCTCAAGAATGGGCTTTGGTTATTCCTGTCTCCCTGGCTTTTGTGATAATAGAGAACAACAAATGAAGGCACATTTACATAGAGATACTGAATATGTATCCATAACCAGCAGGAGAGGGGTAAGATTCAGGGCTCAAGTTCCAAAGAGTTAACTTTCGCAGCATAATGTACTTTGGGTGTGATCAAACTGAACTAATGTATGCAAACTGCTAATATATGCCAAGTACATTGACATTTGATGTGTGCCAGGTTCGGCATCATAACAAGACATGTAGTTCCCCTGTTCTTGAAGAGCCTCCAAGCTGTTGGTGTAAACATGCACCTTTTGCCAGAGCCCAGGCAGCTGGTGTAGGATAATAACTGATGCTTTGTGGGGAAGTGGTGTTTATGAAGAATGTGTACCAAGAAACCTGCAGTTAAATACTATGGCTAGACAGGCCTGGAGACACATGTCCAATTATAGCCCAAATCATTTCACTCATCCATACTGCAAAGCCAAATTCTGTTCTTATTTATCTTATTGGGAATCCAGTGTTAACTCTATTGGCTTCAGCAGAGTGATCCTGGATTTACACTTGGGAATATGGCCCAGGAGCTGGATGTATTTCATTTGCAAATAATTTAAAAAAATATTCTCCTCCTTGGTTAGTTGAACAAGTGCCACTTTCAGATGAATGCCTGCAGCAGCAGTATGATGTTTTGTGAATTCTATGCGTGTGGGTATAGTTATGGGGCAGAGGGTGAAGCCAGGAATGGGTAGAGCCTGGGTGAAGTCCACCCATGTGAGTCACAACCCTCGGTAGGTTGGCACTCAAAGAGGTTGGACCAGTGGCTTAGCACTGTGGCTTCATCTCTGACACGGAAGTGCACTGATTCCCAAAACTGGTCAAAGGAAGCAGCTACTACTTTTGTCACTGTTGAATACCCGGCTAGATAAACCCTTGGTCTATTCCACTGTGGCCATTTCTGTGCGAAATTGAACACATGCATCGAGTATGCAAGCGCGAGTATGGAGGGAAGAACAGACCTGGACACCTGGGCCATGCTAATGCAGGAGAAAGAAAACATCAGGGGACTCTGTGAAATATAAATTGGCATTTTACCTTTATTTGACTTATATCCTAAAGGAGCCGGAATTCTGGCCCTTTTCTCCCCTAAAGTAAAGACTGGAGGATACACACACTGCACGCCGACAGGACACAAATAGAGACAACACTACAAAGCTGTGGCAACAAGCCAACCAAATCCGTACAGTGCACTCAGCCTGCTATCATTCGCCTTGTCAGTTAAACGGCAAACACCTCCCCTCCCAGCTCCAGGCCTGCCACCGCCACAGGAGATGGGGGGTGCCGTTGTCCTGGGCCCAGGTTTAGAAGGGGAATGGGACCACCGACACCACAGTGAATAGCAGCCGCAAAGGGCTTTCCCCTCTCACACTCAGGGGGGCTAGGTGAGGGTGAGGCACTAGGAGGACCTGGAGAAAAGAGGAGTGGAGGAAAAGTGGAGGGATAAGAGCAAATCGGTGATACGCTGAAAGGAGACAGGGTAGGCAGATGCTATAAAAATGGAACGGGAGAGGAATATGAGGGAAGAAGGGGTGAAACGTGGGAACTTCCCGGTCTTGTCCGAATTCCTGTCAATCCTGGCTGCGGCCCTGCCTAGCTCCTCGCTGGGAAAAGCACCCAAGGTAGCAGCACGATGAAGGTACAGAAGATATGTTAACACAGTGACACCACAGCGAGGCAATTCAGGGCCGGCCTGCTCTCTCTCTTCCTATCCCATCGGGGCTTCACACGCAGTATTTCCAAAAGCAGGCTAGGGAGGCCAGGAGAGAAAGAGAGATGTTAGGAAACAGTCTTGCAGGTGCAAGCTCATGTAAAACTCGACTGGAGGTAGGCAGCCGTCCTGCATTCTTGGCAGGAGGAATGGACTGAATGACATCTTAGATCTTGGCCTCCTCTAATTCATTGTATTCTTGGTTAATTTCCATGTCCTTCCTCACTGTCTCTCAGCCACACAAACAATTGCTCCTTGTGTTGCCCACACGGAGACACGGGAGAGCAGTGACCTTGGCAAAGGGGACACGTTTTCACTATCAGCTTGTGTAATGTGGGCTGACTCACTCTGCAAAAAAAGGGGTTTCTGCAGAATTGAGAGCCGGGATGTACCAAACAACTCCAAATCCTCTCCTGACTGAAAAGAGAGGTCTGCTGCAAGGCTGCTTGAAGTTTCCAAATGGATTTTAGAAGCACTTAAAAGATCCCTGGAATGGTTCCAGTTGCTAAAATTCCTTTATACCTGAGGACCTTCAACAGAGCTATTCCTTACAGCCTGGACTCCACAGTTCCTTTATGAACCAACAAGCTCTTAAAAGCTTCTGATTTTCCACCAAAAGGGACCAAAATAGGACCATTTTAGGATGCTGCCAAAGCCCCTTAAACTATCAAAAGCAAATGGAAATGTGGACAGGCAGTGCCAGTCAGCTCAGGCTAGAAGGAGATACTGCTGCTAGTCAACAAGGCTGATTAATTAGCAAGCAACGGCAAAGCCCGTAGATGCCCAGCTGGTGACAATGGATGGCTGAGCTCTGTTTGCCTTGGGGTTCTCAGCATATCTGCTATCGCCCCCGGGGGTGCAGAGAGAACGCCCTAAAGGGAGCAGGCGGGCAGGAGGGCTACAGGCAGATAGATCCCAGGGGCTCACAGAGGCGGCTCTAAAACCAAAACCCACCACGTTTGTCAGGGTGTGATGGCAGCAGGCCTGCCTCGGCGTAGGCCTCCTCAGAGCCTTCCCCAGCCAAAAGCTCCTCCTTTAACTTCTCCAGCTGTTTGGAACAAGCACAAGGTTAGATTAACCTCTCCTGACCCACCCCCAGCCCTTCTCCCGCGAGCCACCCACCCACCTATCACTGCATAGAGTGCTACCACCTTATTCCTCTTGCCGCTGTGGCTTTGATATCCTCCCCTCATTTTCCATGCTCGTCTCCCGTTCACTTTGCCTTCGGGCAGCAGTGACCCTGTCGCACTGGTTTCTCTGGGGCAGGGATTCCATGTTAAGGGCCATTCTTTCCCTCTTCTAGAGGCGAGGGCCGTCCGCGGCAAGGAGACTCTGCTTCTGCTCTGGCAACATAGCTCTCAGGAAGCCAGATCCTAATATTCCAGATCTCTGGGAAAGGTCCCATCTGAATCAGGGCACTGTGCTGGGGCCTGTCTCTATCCCAGTCGCAGCTAGGTGTGATATAGTGACACATTGCAGAGGCAGGTTGGACTGAGAGTCAGGAGACCTGGGTTCTATTCCCAGATCTCCCATGACCTGCCATGTGATCATGGGTGAGTCACTTCCACGCCCTGTGCCTCAGTTTCCCCTCACATGCTTTCTCTCCTGTCACAGGCTGGCTGGCCCTTTGAGGCAAGCTGAGCTCAGTCGTGACCATGATTTAGCAGCTAAGCCTAA